GGGACAAGCGCGTCTGAGCTCTCTGCCACCTGCGTCGTGAGCCCTGCCCCCGGCACACAAGCCAGCGCTGAGGTCAGGGCAGATTCTGCTGGCTGCGCCTGACGTCCCGAGAGCCCACGGACACGGTCATCACGCAGCGCAGACGCCAGCAGACCTGGCCTCGGTGTGAGCGGTGTCTGAGAATCCAGTTTTCCACCTGCCACATTCCTTCACCGTGCCCAGCGCCCCAGCCTCATGCGGGCGGAGACGCAGAGTACAGGGAGGAGCGGTGCGTGCGGCCACTCTGTCCTGGGCCTGCAACTTCGCTGTACATCTGAAACTATTCTAGAGCAAAACACAGCTTCCTTGGAGCTGACCAACTTCCCGAGACCTGTGGGCAGACGAGCAGCCGAGCTTTCCCGGCGGCTGACCAGAGGTACCGGCCTCGGGGTGGCGCGGGGGCTCTCGCTCTTGGCCCGAGGCTTCCGAGGAGGCGTCTTCCTGGGGACTGTTGTTCTAATCAGTTCAAAACTGAGGAGGACTAGAACAATCACATTGCAAAGCCCGGTGTGGCTGGAGGCTAAGTAAATTTGGAAAGCAAGTGGCCAGGAGTTATGCCAAGCAAAAGCAATTATTCTGTCATTAAGGCCATTCGGCAAGGCCGACAGTAAAGGGTCATCTGATAGCGCTAGTGGGAGCTGGAGAGAGGCCCTTTCTCATCTGGGGTCTAATTTTTTGAAAGGACACCTAGCTTTCTGAATCCGGGACATCTGATTTTGAAAACATAAGTAGCCGCCAACCGACTCACAGGGCCCGCTCCCCACCGGGCCCCCACCAGGACCTCAAGAACCGCCCCCGTTAATGTGAGGCCCGGAGCTGCCCCTTCCGCGCCCCAGTGCGCCCCTGGACTGGCTGTCTCACCCCTGCGCCCTGCTGCGCTGGCTTCTTCGGTGCCCACACTCCTCCTCGGCCCCACCCGCCTGGCCTAGTACTATTCAATTCCATTGTCTGTATGTCTGCTCGTGTTCCAGTACCATGCAGATTTGATTATTATGGCTTTATAGTACAGTCTGAATGAAGTCTGGGAGTGTGATACCTCCGTTCCCTATGCCTGGCCTAATACTGAAATGTCAGGAGAGGCAGGATTTAGCCAGGGAAGGGAAATGAAGAAAAAGGTCATTACAGGTCGCTCTTCCCCGCCCCAGAGCCGATGAGCCCGGACATCGACATGGATCTACAACCGCCACCCCAAGCGGGAGGGCACCCCATGCCGCCCCTTGGTGCCCCCGCTCCCCCTAACAGCAGCACACGGGACCAGTCTAGGGTGGCAGAAGTCAGATCGTGCTTTCTGGGGTGGAGGACGGGGGAACAGGCTGCAAGGGGAGCTCTGGGAAAGGTGCTGGAGGTAGTGTCCGTCGTGATTTGGATGGCTGTTAAACCTGGGTATGTCGCTGTCAAAACATTTTCTGTACACAAAACAGGCCGTGATATTGTAGGCAATTAGGGCAATAAAGCTGACTGGGGAAATCCGGTGATGTAAATGTAAAGCTGGGTGCTGTCTCACAGCCCTCCAGGCCTTCCCAGCTGTCCTTGGCCTGGCGACCCTCCCGTCCTGTCCCTCCCGGCCTGGCCTGTCTGTTCCCTGGCGATCAGCCCTGTCTCTGCCTGGCTGAACGTCATCGCTGTGTAACTTTCCAGGAATTCACAGGCAGCTCTCACAGGTTGATCGCAAGTGCCTTTGGGTTCATAAATCAGTCAAGTGCCTACAGATTCCGCACCCGCCCGATGGTGGCCGAGGGGGCAGGGGGCAGGCACAGGCGCTGGCTGTGGGGACTGAGGATGTGTGTGGGGAGGGGGCAGCCCCGCCGGCCGGTGAGGACCAGCCCCGTGCCCAGCCCACGCAGCCCAGCCCTGTCCTCCTGCCCTCCGCCGCCTGGCTGAGCTCTAGACCTGCTCAGCCGCTGTCCGGGGAGCTTTGGGCATCATCGCGTTAGAAATCCCCTTTATCGCTCTCATAAGGCGCCTGCTTCCTGGACCACGTTTTCTTGCCTTTTGGGGGGGCCGTCCTTCAGCCAGCAGCCCCCTCTCCACACAGAGCACAGGACTCTCTCTGGCTGAGGGACAAGCGTGATTGGGGCTGCCCAGCGGCTCCGGAAACCCGAGGCCCGCTTCTTCCCGCCAAGCAGAGTCATGCCAGGTTCCAGTGCCCTCCCGCCCCCCAACAGAGGCCTGAGGTAAGGGCGGGCGGGCAACGGAGGCCCACGCAAAGGCCCGGGGGCAGAAAGGGGCCTGGTGAGTCCCCAAGGGCCGAAGTTGCTGAGTGGGCTGGAGTGGAGCGGGGGTGAGCTCAGGGAGCCGGAGAGCCCACGCGGAGGCCGTGTTTGAGAGCAGGTGGAGTTTGCCCCAACTGTCACTAGGCAGTGTGGCCTGGGGCAGTTTCACGTGCAAACGACCCAGAGTGCAGCCACGCAAACCGGGTGTGCAGCAAACTATACACCGGCCAGGTGGCAGGGCCACTGTCCACGTGGCCTGCCGTGGACCAAGAACCGTCAGGCCTGAACGGGCTGTCCTGGAAGCCGCCCTCAGCCTGCCACATGCAGGCCTGCAGTCTGGCCAGCGCACCTACCGGCGTGGACGCCTGCGTCCCTGACCACTGCCTACGGCCAGACGCCGCCCTTTGCCTTGCTCCTCCTCCGCAGCCTGAACGAAGCCCTGGCTGCCCCACACTTTCTGCAGCCAACCTGCACCAGCGTCTGCCGGGCAGCCTTGCCAGCCCTCCTGGGCGGCCTCCCTCCCCCAGCGCCCTGCGAGGCTGCAGAAATGTCCAGGGGAAGGCTGTCCTGAAGGAACTCTGCAGAGTCTGTGGACCCCACCCCCTGCTCCAGCTTTCTGGGCTCCACCCCCTGCTCCAGGGATTGGAAACTACAACTCCCAGCAGCCCCAGAGAGAGAACTGTGAGGGAAACTACAACTCCCAGCAGCCCCAGGGAGAGAACTGCGAGGGAAACTACAACTCCCAGCAGTACCCGGGACAGAACTGCGAGGGAAACTACAACTCCCAGCAGCACCAGGGACAGAACTGCGAGGACCCAAGGGTGGAGCTAGCGGGAATTCTGGGACTTTGGGAGATAAATAGGGAGCGATTTTCAACAGCTCTGGGGGGGGGTAGGGGTGAGGCAAGGCCCTCTCCCTGCTCAGTGGCTCTCGGGACCACATGGCTGGGGGCTGACAGTTATTTGTGACCAGAGCTCCCAGCCAGCCGCTGGTAGGATGTTCTAGTTACCTGGGTTGTTCCTTTTCCTTCCCCTTTTGTAAGTAACCCCATTATTGCCCCTTTTGTGTGTGTCTGCAGTACAGCTGAATTTTAAGTGCGGGGGCGAGGCCCCACAGACAGGCCCCGTGCCCGGTGGCAGAAACACCGCAGGGCCACAGCACAGCGCGCCCCCCACCCCGCCCCACTCACCTTCGCCCAAAGTCTGCTTGAGCAGGTCGTGCTTAGCCTGCAGCTTAGTGATGAGGTTACTGCCGTTCACGTATTCTTTAAATTTCTGGAAGACAAGGCAAGGGGGTGGCACAGTCCTTCGCCTCCTGCCTGCGGCCGGGGCAGGGGAGGACACCCGGCTTCCGCGGGAAGGAGCCGCTTGCTTCAGCCACGCAGGGCGCTGCCCCCAAAGCCCACGCCAAACTCAAGGCCGCCCCGCGAGTCGAGGTCGCGCAGGCCGGAGAGGGGTTTCTGGGCGGCCCAGCTCCCTCGGCCGCCCGCTCTGGGCCACCCAGGTCGGCTCTGGCGCTCCGCTGGGACCCATGGCCGCATTTCACAAAGGTCAAGCCAGGCCATGACGGAATTCAGCAAGATGTAGGGAGACCCGTGTGGACGGGCGGCTGCCACCCGGGGCGGCTCCCCCAGTCCCGGCCCCAGGCCCAGCGTGCTCACCGTGAAGTAGAACATCTCAGTCTCCTGCTGGTTCGCCCGCCGCTTGGCGATGTTGATCTTGCTCATGTAGGTCTCGGAGGCGGCCGACTTCACGGACTCGGTGGACCGGCTGTGCTGGAAGGCGTCAGAGACGTCGAAGTCCTCCACCGTCAGCATGTCCTGCAAGGTCTGCATGGTGGCGTCCAGGGTCTTCCGGACCTGGGGAAGCGCCGGGCCCAGTGCCCATCAGCCCTCGGCGTCGGACCCCCAACGTGTTCCCCTTCCCTCGCGCCCCCCGCAGAGCCGGCAAGCAGGGGGCCGAGGATGCCCACGCCCCAGTCGCGGTGGGTCAGTGAGGCCTGGGGGGCGGAGCAGGGCTGGGCGTGGGCCCCACCTGAGGGCACGAGGCTGTAGCTTCTCAGAGAGATCCCTGGGAGACCTCGTGAGACACAGGGGACTCGGGTTCTCGGTGGGCCCCGAGAGCGGGAACCCAACTGGCTCCTCCCACCGGGGCTCCCTCGGGAGGCTCTTGGGGCAGGGAGGGACGCCGTGCTCCAGCTCCGCCCCCAGGCCTGGCCCAGCGGCCTCCAGGCGCGCCGGGCACAGCTCTGCCGTGCTCTGCATCCCACCTCCTCCCTGGAATGGGGGCCGGGAGGCCACACGTGAGTGTGGCACGTGAGCACGTGGCACGTGAGTCCCCCTGCAGGGGCCCCCGAACTTGGAGGGGGGTCATTTCCAAAACAGCTCTGGGAGGGGCCCTCCCTGGTGGTGCGGCAGGTTAAAGCCCAGCACTGGGGCTGGCCACAGCTGCCTGAGTGCGACTTCCATCCCCGCCCCGGAGGTGACCACAGGGCGCAGCAGACCCCTCCTGACCCGCCTGCTGCTCCCCTCAGCAGTGGGCTCCGTCGATCTGCCTGTTCTGCTCCCCACTCTGTCTCTGGTGAAGCCTCTCACCCCCCCCTGCTCCTCTGGCCTGTACCCCATAAATAAATCTTCAAAAAAAAAACCCCATTCTGGGAGAAAGGGCTTCTGCAGCCCTCTTTAAGAGTAATTTAAACTCACGGCAGAAGACAGACAAGCACAGAGGAGACAGGAGTCGAATCCTGCACCAGACACGCCCGCTATTCACAGGCCGCGTCCTCGCGCCCACGAGTAGCGCAGACCGGCTGCCCGGCCGCCGTGGCCG